TAATTCAATAGCGGTACCAAAATCTCTTTAATATATACATTCGGAAGTAGATTATATGCAAATTGTTGTGGTATGCTTCAAATTTCTTACTAAGCAAGAAAAGATTCATCGTCGTTAAGAAGGATTGTACTTATATTTTGGAAAAACTAAGCATAGTATTCAACATTGTCCAAAGAAACAACGCAACCGTAAAATAACAAGTACGATGATCAAAAAAGATAGCATGTCGGAAAATAAATTTGTCTAGCTACAATAGGGATCGTGCCACTAGAACCTTATACAATGCCTAGTAAAGGTCCTATCCTCTCCTCAGAACCCTCTCTATGTTTTACAATAAATGTTATTCTAGGACCTAAACATCACAAAGCCTCTGCCTTGCTAGATTTAGGAGCCTCACTATGTTTCTTAGATGAAAAATTCACTAAAAGACATAGCATATTTTTAGTGAAGAAAACTAAACCTGTTCATATAGAAGTCATAGATGATTGTCTGTTATCTTCAGGAGATGTTACTTATAAAATCCTTCCTATAGAAATAGCAACTAATGGTCATAGTAGCTTTGTACTATTTAATATCATTAGATCTCCTTTTAATCCAGTCATTTTAGGTTTATCATGGCTAGAAAAATATAATTCTAAAATAGATTGAACTACTCGTAGTCTTGACTTTTTTGAAAGTATAACTAAGAGTATAATTAATCAAGTAGAAAGTCATAAGTCTAATATAACTAAATCTATATTTGTAGATGCAAGAGCTTTCTTAGATACTACAAAAAAAAGATCACCTTGTGTCATTTATGCCACACTTGTTTCTACTAGTAGAAAGACTTTAAGTGGCATTCCAACTCAATATCAAGATTTTCAAGATGTATTTGAGAAGAAGAATGCGGATACTCTTCTGGAACATTGTTTCTATAACTGCTCAATTGATCTTCAAGAAGGAGCACAACCGCTTTTTGGACCAATCTATAATTTATCTCAAAATGAGTTGGCTGAACTCAAGGAGTATATTGAAGAGAATGTGGCCAAGAACTTCATATGCCATTCCAAAATCTCCAACAGGAGCTTCAATTCTATTTGTGAAGAAAAAAGACGGATCATTACAAATGTGTATCGATTATCGAGGACTCAAAAAAATCACTATTAAAAATAGGTATCCACTATCTTTGATATCTAGACTCCTTGATCAGTTGAATCAAGCTAAGATCTATACAAAAATAGATCTATGAATAGCATACAATCTGGTACGCATCAAAGAAGGAGATGTATGGAAGACTGTGTTTTGAACAAAGTATGGACATTTCGAATACAACATCATGCCTTTTGGACTTACAAATGCACCAACAGCATTCTAACATCTAATGAATGATGTCTTTTGAGAGTTTTTACATGATTTTGTTGTTTGTTACCTAGACGACATCTTAATCTATTCTAAGAATATAGAAGAATATGAATTTCATATTCATCATGTATTACAAAAACTAAGAGATGCAAGACTTTATGCCAAGATAGAAAAGTGTGTATTTCACACTACTCAAGTCGACTTCTTAAGATACATCATTTCAAATGATGGACTTATGATGGATCCTAAGAAAGTTTAAACCATTATGTATTGGAAGATCCAAAAAATAGTAAGAAATGTCCAATGTTTTTTGAGATTTGCCAACTACTATTGGATTTTCATCAAAGACTTCTCTCAAGTTGTAGCTCCACTTACACGTTTGACTTGTAAATACAAACTTCAATAGAATCAAGAAGCAAAAGTAGTATTTGAAGCTTTGAAGATAACCTTTGTTTTTACACCAATCTTGTATTGTGTCGATTTTTCTAAGCCATTTTTTATCGAAACAAACGCATCATACTTTGCATTGGGTGCCGCATTGTCACAAATGGGAACAGATGATGAACTTCATCCAATAGCTTTTTATTTGAGAAAATTTTTAGCAAGCGAGATGAACTATAAGATCTACGACAAAGAACTTTTGGTAATCATGGATTCGTTTCAAGAATGGTGCTATTATCTAGAAGTTGCTTCTAGCCCAATCACAGTATATATTGATCACAAGAACCTTGAATATTTTATGTCAGCACATTTTTTGAATTGTTGCCAAACATGTTGGAGTATGTCTTTGTCAAGATTCGAATTCAAGATCACTTATCGACCAAAAAAACAACAAAGTTTATCAATTGCACTCTCTAGACGATCTTACCTTACATCAAAGGAAGGAGATGTTGCTTTTGATCAACAATGGATAATTCTCTTGAAGCCAAAGCATCTTTATCCTTGAGCAATAAAATCAACACTAACTGTTGATTCAACTTTCATTAAGCAAGTTCAGTCAAGTATGTCTTTTGATCCTCTTATTTGTGATATTAAAGAAAATCCTTCAGAGTCTCATGATACTTTCAAGTTTGAATTCAAGAAGATCTACTATATTTTGAGGGAAGCCTATATATTCCAAAAGGTGAAGCTCGATTATATATTCTTCATGCTTGTCATGACTTTCTAACAGTAGGACATTTTAGGTACAATAAAACTTTGGAACTAATATCGAGGGACTTTTGGTGGCTCCAAATGTCGAAAGAAATCAAAGATTTTGTACAATCTTATAATATTTTCTCGAGATCAAAAACTCCTCATTATCAACCTTACAAACTTGTTCAGCCATTACCCATTCCAGAACAACCACGGTCTTCTATTTCTATGGATTTCATCACGCATCTTTCAATCTCAAATTCTTATGACTCTATATTCATGATAGTAGTGGTTTTACCGAGATGGCATATTTTATATCATGTATAAAATCTATCATAGGTGAAGAAACAGTTAAGCTCTTTCTTGACAATATCTATCGCTATCATGGATTATCCAAAGATACTATATCAGATAGGGGAACTCAATTTGTATCAAAATTTTAGCAGACTCTTTTCAAGATTTTAAAAATGGATATAAAACTATCTTCAATATTCCATCCTCAAACTGATGGACAAACGGAGCGCGTTAATCAAGTTTTAGTGTAATATCTAAGATATACCATTAACTACCAAAAACATGATTGGACAATTCTTTTGCGATTGGCAGAGTTTGCTTATAATAACACGGTACATTCTTCTACAAAACAAACACCTTTCTTTGTCAATTATGGTTATCATCCATGACTTGATACTTTTGACTTTTTAAAAGTTGATAATCCTACTACGACAGATTTGCCAATTCATTTGTCAGAGCTACATGCAACAATGAAGGCGTAGTTAAAAGAAACTCAAGAACAAAAAAAAGTGAATGTGAATATCTATCAAAAGGAACAACCACCATTCTACATGGGTGATAAGGTATGGTTACTTTGTCGCAATATCAAGACCACTCGTTCTTGTAACAAGTTGGACTATCAAAGGCTTGGACCATTTTCTATTTCTATACAAATCAATCCAATTGCATATTGTTTACAGCTATCAGAGTCAATGAAAATCCATCTAGTATTCCACGTGTCTCTCCTTGAACCATACAAGACAATGGACATACCAAGAAGAAGACAAGCTCCACCTCCTCCTATAGAAGTGGACAATAATGAAGAGTTTGAAGTAGAAGAAGTCTTAGATTCAAGACGGTGCCAAAATAAATTAGAATATCTTGTCCATTGGTGTGGATATGATATTAGTAAACGCACATGGGAGCCAATAAAGAATCTTGCAAATGCAACAAAGGCGGTGGAGGCTTTTCATCAATGACATCCATCAAAATCAAGATGAAAACCTTTTTTATAAAAGAAACAAGATCTAAGCAAGATAACATTCTACTTTCAATCATTGTTTGTACCTTCTTTATAGTTGTGATGCTAAAGAAATGGAGAACTAATAACCAACGGATTCGACTCAAGAGCCTTTGTTTGTTGACATGTCGGACGAGACATTATGATTATCACAACCTTCAAGACAATGTAATTGAGGCGAAGATCTTCAAAAACAACATGTTCTTCCTCAAACAGATGGCATGATACAACATATTTGGTATCACAACCTTGGCAAGGACTCTCGATGTTTGATGATTTTACTAAAGGTAAGAACAACTTCTAACGGTGTTTCAAATGTTTTATTCGAAGGAAGTTATAAAGGCTTCAACAACGATCAAATAATTGGGTGGTCTTCTCACCCTGGTATAGAAGACTATCGATAGTTCAGAAGCCCTATCGTTCATTTCCAAAGAAAACATAGATTAGAGCATGTGGCGAATACAATTTGTTATATCATAGATTTTTTCAACATATGATTACCGCTCCTCGTGGAACTTGTCTCTAGAAGGGGGGGTAATGTCATGGACATACGCATGTAAGCTAGTATTTACATGTATAAATAGATAGAAGTAAGTAAAAGTAGCTAAAAATAAGTTAATTCTATAATATTTGCTATGGAAGCTTCTTAGAAGCTATATAGACGCTGCTTTGACTTTATAGGTATCTATAATTGACTTTTTGGATTAAAAACGTGGTCAACAAGTTGGCCATATGCCACACACGTTGTTAGCTTGAAGACGAAGCTAATTATGTGGTCCACACATAAAAAAACTTGCCTTATAAGTCAAGGCATGTATCCTACAAAGTTAACACATATTGGAGGTCATATAGAATATCATCACATAGCCCCTAGTTAGATAGTATATATAGAGATAAGGATGAAGCCTTCTTCACTCTTGTCAACTCCTTTCTTGCTTCTAGTCTAGTTTCAAGGGTATATAGTTTTTTTGTCTTTTGGCAATAGCCATTCTAGTTTCTTTCTTAATATACATATCAAGTTATTTCTATTTTGTCATATTTCTTTGAGAGAAGTCTCACTTCTTTATTTATTTTTATCATGTTCTTGTCCTTGATAATATAATACATCAAGTATGATATTCTCATCACCATTTGTAAGTTTTATATTTACATCACCATGCCAAATTTGCGGATGTGCAAGATTGTATATGTGAAACAACATTGTTTTCTAGGCAATTTTCTATTGCTCTGATACCATGTTGGAAACAATATTATTATTAATATGATCAATTGATACACAATATATTGTGTGATGCCAAGAGTCACAACTCTTGGTGTAAGGTCAATACAAAGTAGATAGTATTCTATACAAGTGAGTATACTATACAGTATACTATACAGTATAATTCTCCCAATACCACGTCCTGCACACACGCAAAGAAATCAGCAGTGAAGCCGTTATCACTCACTCCAGAACCTGTGGCTCTGCTCAGCGCTGCTGTGAGCGGCGAGTTGCCGAAGGTGGTTGCCAAGCTCCAGAATCCTGGGTAGACCATGCTCGCTCATGCCTCACACATCCATTTCATGACCTTACAGCTGCAAATCCCAAGAATTGCATGATAGCAGCATGATAACCCATGGCTTACTCGTAGTGTTGGATTCCGGCTGGGATGAGGAGGTCCGACCCAAGCGCATCTTCGGTGCCGTGGTCTGCCTTCACCATGCCACAGAAGAGGTAACCTGTCAGGGATTTGTTGTTTGGTGATGAAAGCTGTATCTGGCATCCTGTCAACTAGATATTTCAAAACCAAAAACCGAGCCCCCACACGTACTCACCCTATCTGGTAGTTCTCCTTGTTCCACAGGAAACGGAGGTTTCGGTCTGTTAGGATAATTGAAAAACTGCAAACGGACATGGTGAAGGTGAGTAGCAAACTTGAAGGATCGTGTTAGGAACCGCTGTCCTAAATCCGAAGAGCATAAACATGAGAATGTCACGATAACAACACTGTCATTCACGGTCCAATTCTCATTGTGGATTCACATCGAAACAACTCCACTCACATCATTCATGGGTTCAGTCATGGTGAAACAAATAGCTCCCTGGCAGGATCGAAAGTTTCACTTCGGAGCAGGCCTCGGTCGATCGTCCAGCTTCACGAAGGACTCACAATGCTTTGAGCGTCTGGCAGGTTGTCGTGACACACCAATGCGAATGCAGCTTATATGAATGTAGAGATGGTGCTTGACTCAGCCTCCGCCAAGCTCACAGACTATGCACACCGACTGTGCCCGGCAGACATGTTTGTCGATGGAAAACTTTGGCGGCACACGTCGCCAAGCAATGGCGGTGGCCTGGCGGCCTTCCTCAGTTTGTGAGACGCGCTTGCGTTTCTCCTCCGGTTGCGAACGTTCACAGCAGTCGTACCCAAGCGGTGGCGTCGACATTTTCATGTTGCGGCCCGCCGCCACAGCGTTGGAAGGTGTTGAGAACTGCAGGTCGCAGTTGCAGACACGACCAGGATGCTGGCGAGATGATTATTGGGTTTGCGCGGAACTTGAGTTGAACCATGCTCCGAGAGGTAGTGGTTCCTCACCATCTCACCTACGAAGACAGCGTGTTGGTTCGAACGTCTCGCTCGTTGTCCGGCAAGCTACGTGGGTGTCGTGAAGTCCCATCCCTTCTCTCACATGATCTTCGAGACTTTCAGCGTCGCGTGATGGGTGGCAAATCCGGCAATCTGAGCACGGACACTGGTCACCGACAGCCGACTGGCACGCGGAATTCTCTCAAGTCCCCACCAACATGTTTTGGGTTGAATGTGTCGGTGGGTTCGTGGATGGAAATAAAGCGGCGTGGAGGTGTCACAACCACCTGGTATGGGGGAGGCAGAAACGACGCCGGATGCCCTACGACGTCGCAGAGGATGAATCGGACTGCAGTGTTCGCCGGGGCTTCCACCATTCGGAGCATCCACGTGATCGTCTGCGTGTCTGGAGCACGTGTGCTGTGGGACAATCCTGGAGGGCCGACAACGGATGTAGGGGTCATACATGCGCTTGGCTGGTAACTGTGGTATTTTATTAACGGCTGTTATCAACGGCTGTGGTATCTAGAGAAGCGTTTAGACAAGAATATTGGAGTTTTTGTATTCCAGGGATATAGCTCTACACGTTATTGGTTTTCTTTTTTTTATCAGATTTTCATTTTTAATTAATATTGAAAACATTGTCTCAAATTCATTCAAAAATGTTGTTTTGATGTCAAATTGCATCATTTCTATATCTTCTTCAGCTGCTATTGATAAACAATGATTACAAAACCAAACTTCACAACAAATGAGAGAGTTTTATCATAGTCACTTCTTGCAACTTATGAATATTCTTTTGCAACAAGACAAACCTTCTATCAGTCAATCCTTCCATCTGATTTGACCTTAGTCTTGTATACCCACTTGCATTTTATTAGTTGACAACTTATACATAATTCACACAGCTTCCATGTATTATTGTGCATGAAAGTTAATATTCTTTGTCGATGGTAGCCTTCCAATGAGGAGCCTTGGTCGCATCTAAAAAATCTATTGGATCTGCTTTCAAATTTGGTGAAGCTTAAGAGCCTCACTTAGCAATGCATGAGACTTGCTGGAAAATTCTATCTCATCAAAAAAAAGAAACAAACAAAATTAGTTCAATATGAAAACCAGATTAAATCAACAAAAACTTAATTGTACCATAAAATTTAATTAAAGCCACTAATTTTTGGTATACTTGTTAACATTGTATATATATTCAGTCTTGTGACACAATCAAACATCTCTTGGAATAAAATCCATTTGTTTCATGGTATTAGAGCAACTCCAATTCTAATGGGAGGATAAGATCTGAGTCTTTTTTTGTTTTTCCTTCTCTTTGTGCAAGAGTGTTCAAAGATCCTTGAAAGTATTACAAAGAATACTAATACTTCTTACTTTCTTTTTTATATTTTATCTAATAATAGAATAGTATGAAGAAGAAATAATACCTATAATTAAAGTAATGTGGAAAGTACTATCATCGACTAGAGATTGAACAACAATTGAATCATACTCTTAGCATCCATAGCACCTACGATTGAAGTATTGAGGAGAGTATTGTTATCACAGTGATTAGAAATTGAACAACAAGTAAGTTATAAATATAGCATCCATATAGAGGCTATGGCAAAGCGACTAGATCTATCGCTTGGCAAGTCAAATAAGTTAGAAGGGCTCAATGACTATCATGTATAGAAACTAAACATGTAAGCTATCTTTTGACGTAAAAATTTGTGGAAGGTGGTAGAAAGTATGATTTCATCTACAATATTTTCAATCATCTTACCTAGTGGAAGACAAATAACTAAGCAGCAGTTGCGAGACTTGAAAACGACAACCTGTAGAGCAATTACCATATCGATAAAAAAACTCTCTTTTTGACATTATTGCTATACATAAAGATCTGGTAGTCACATGGAAGACAATGCAAAGGTTGTATCAAAAAGGTGACCTGTCAATGGTATTGTTTGTTACATATAAATTGAACCAGATCAAGCTGTTTGAGGAATTAAAAAACAGATAAGCCACACTAGGAGAACCAGTGTCTAATCAAACATTAGTTTAAACCAGACTAAATGGATTACCAAGGTCTCATGAATATATAATATTGATACTAAAATACAACACTATATTTTTATCTTTGATAAGATGAGAGTAGTATTGTTAATAGAACATCACCGCCTTTAGCATCAAAAATTATACTTGGGCAATAAAGAGGTATTGTTTATGCAACTTCAATGAGGAGCTTGCATAACTACTAGAGGAAAAAAGTACTCGTATACTTGAAGACAAAGACTTGGATTAACCAGCTATCTACATAGAGGGAACATTTTAGTCCAAATAACTTTAGAATATATAAATTCGAAAGATTTTGGATGCTATGTATATAGCAAGTATAGTCACTATGAATCGATGTCATAATGTAATACAACTATATAGTAAAATTATAATTAAAATTGAATTTCTAATTAATATCTAATTATCTTAATTCAATTATAATTTGAGATATCTAAAAATAGCTTTTATAAAAGCCTCTTAGATTATTTTTTATCTTAATAGTTAGTAGGTTGAAGGTTAGTTAGTAATTTTACCTTCTAGATTGTAGAGTCTCTTCTACTACCTTAGAAAGACCATAAATTGATGAAATCAGGTTAGAAGAGATAAATGGTTGATATGGTTGATACTAGGATCAAGTTAAGGATAGAATTGGATTGAAAAATCCTTACGATAAGTTAGATTGATACCCAGGGATCGACCATTTGTAAGATAGGATTGGAATCAGACCTCTAGTCACTAAAACAACTGTTGAGGGCAAGTTAAGAAATCAATTAAAGATCAAAGATTAGAGTTTGAAAGCTAGCTTGAAATTCTTTGTAGAGACATAAGAATTATTTTGAGAAGATTTTAAAGGACTTAGCAATTGTTGTTCAAAGTCACAGTTTGTATTAGTGATTTGGGTTTTATATAATATAATTAGGACTAGCAATTTTGGCTAGTTCGTGCAATTGGTATGACATCTACAGTTGAAAACCTAATACTGTTTGGATTATTAGGTGTGCTAAGTGTATAAAATATTTTGTGATAATCTAATGGCGTGGTTTAGAGATATTTAGTTTTTAACACAAGAGGGTTTTGGAAGGTGGCAGTTTGAGGTTGATTAGGGTTTCTATGATATCTAAATATCTATCAATTGGATTAAGGTGAAAATTGGTATGGTATTGAAGGACTTAAAGATCAAGCTACATACCAAGTTTGAAATAAAGTTAATAGTTGAAAAGAGAGAAATCATTGTTGGGATTTCTACTTCACTTTTCAAGTTGGCGGCCAAGTGACATCAGTGCAATTTTTGGAGGTTTTTTCACAATTTGTAAGTTGGATTGGGCTAAAAATTCTTGAGCATATAAAAGACTTACATTGACAATTGCATGTAAAATTCCACATCAAATGGATGGTCAGATTGGATATTATAGCTTGTTAAAGCTCATTGATTAGGATTGGGGCTTACAAGAAAAATCTAAATTGCTTAAATATGAAAGTAATAAGGTAATTGGGATTTATGTATGGTTAAGACTACTAAGAAGAGTGTTTTAAGCACTTTTGAATTGAAATTCAGATTATATTCTTCTTGTATGGACAAAACCTATTAGGATTTCTTGGCTACTTGTGAAACACAATCTCATCTTCCACAGCAAGGTGCTCGGTGCATTCTTGAACAAAACAACACGTAATATGACACCAGATTGTTGAAGTTGCAAAGGAAGAAGGAAGTAGTGGTATACTTTGGTAAATGTGGTAGAAAGAAATGACAACTATACTAAAGAATCAGAAAATATAAACCATGAAGGGGTATTAAAAGTGGCCTTTATAGAACTCCAATATAATTTAGATATAAGATATAGCTGGTACATAGACTCAAAAGTAATAATACATGTGACTAAATCAAAAAAATGCCTAAACTTTATTGAAAACTTGAGAATTAGAAGCAAATAGGTATAACAACAAGAAGAAAGAAATACAAGATTGAAAGAATATTAAAAATTTAGAAAATAGAAGCAAATAGGTAGAACAACAAAAAGAGAGAAACATAAGATTGAAGGAATATTAAAAACTTTGAAAATAGAATCAAATAGATACAACAACAAGAAGAAATAAACACAAGATTGAAGGAATAGGAGATGATCACTTATATACAAAAGAATAATAAATAAAATTAAATGATATTTTCTACATTCCATCTGTGAAACAAAATCTAATGTCAATAGGTACATTGATAGATAGAAGTAACATAGTTATTTTTATAAAGGATAAATGTTTAATTTTCAACAATCCACATGACAAGCAAATCATAGGATTTGACAACAAAGATAGTACAAATGGCATCTACAAAATGGGAGACAACACCTTCTATGTAAATATTGTAGTACACAATGAAGAGGTAAGACTATGGCATGAAAGATATGTGTACTTAAACTACCAAGGTCTACAACATTTCTACTTAAAAAATAGAGTTTCTTATTTATCAAAAATATATCCCATTAAAGACATTTTTCATGACTATTTAGTTGGTTGCTAAAAGAAAAAAAGCTTTTCTATTAAAAGTACATCAAGAGCTATACGTGTTAGAATTTGTTC